ATAGACGTCAAAAGAAAAACTTTTGTTAGTTAAAATTTGCAGCAGTGTTACTACTAAGGGGCTCTGTTTCACTTCATTACGTTATAAAGTATAGGTCGACACATTTCTTTCCAAGACATCCTGTGAGAAGGAAAGGATGACCGAAATTGGCCTGAAATCACGTGACGTAATTTACAGTTCTCCTCTTGGCTTCACTAGGCTCTCACAACGCTGATGTAACGACTGCAATACTTAACTTTGAAAGATCTCGTTTGGCTAATAGTGGCCGTTTGTATTATTGGCTTGGGTGTTGTATTGATTTTTAAAACTAAATCTTGTGTTTAGTTTGTTAAATAATAAAGAAAATATAACTATTTTAAGTCAGGTTTCAACGCATTGTTCATCCCTACAAAGAGGAGAAAGTCTATTCAGTATACGATTTGTTATGCTTCAGGTTTTTAACCTGTGTGGCTTTTGATGTGTTTAATGAATATTGGACAAACACAAGATAACAAACCAAAGTGTAAACTGTTAATCTATGAATTTTTATTAAATTCTTAACATGTTGACTTAAACATAAATAAAAATAGGAAATACTAATTAATTAAAAATAGTTGGCTAGTGGTTAGTTGTAGTTCTGGGTAAAGAATACTCTTGTCCCAGGAGTATAGAATGCCATTCGCTACTTGAAATGTATTTGCAATCCTTTATCTATTTAACAAAAAACATTCGGGTTTAATTACATATCTAACTTTTATAAAGGTTCTTGTATTTAAAATCTATCTGTTCTAAGTATTTTTAATTAATATTATATAATACAAAAGATTTTTTTATACTATCTTTATTAAAGGTTATGTCAAAGGTAGTCAAATCCAATTAAGTGGTAAAAAATACAACCTGCTCATTCCTATGATTGGATTCACCCTTCTTTTCAAACCTGGACCAATATCTGGTTCTTTGATGTAATATTGAGACGGATTTTTGATTTGGAATCAGGTCATATCGGGCGGCCGTCAACATTCACCTGTATTTCACAGACAGAACATCGCCAATACTGTCTTATTTTTGCACAAAACTACGGTTCGGGAGGTAAAAAAGTTACAGGTAAATTATGCGTAACTTAAGAAATCTTATTTTGAAAGTTTCCTTTAGGAACAAAGTTTTTAATTGTATATTGTTCTAATTATTATATATATCACTAAAGATCAAAGTTTCCGGATCTAAGTTCTAAACTAGACATGGAGGAAATTGATTAGTAAAGCTAAAATGTAACGATGGCAAACTATGATAACCTTTATATCGTAAAAACTGCTTTTTTTCTATTTGTTATTGTCAACGAACGCAACATTTCATGTATTATTGAAATAACTGATTATTAGGAATGAGAAAACAAACTACTTACGGTCGAATTTCCAACAAAGATATATGAAAAATGCTAATTTTTTAGCCATTCTGATAAACACACATACGGGGGATCCGGAATATCATTGGGGCTTAGTGGTTATGAGGATTAGAGAGAATAATTCGTGCCAATTATTGTAACCACCAACTGTTCCGTCTACTGTGTTGGTGAGCCATTGACATGTATGCTAATGTAACGTTGTCCATCGATAAGATTTTTTTTGTTTACTTCTTAAACAAATTAATGCATGAGTGGTAGTAGAAAAAATGTCTTTTATTGGAACTGTTTAACTAGTACTTATTTTTGTAAAGTAAATAGCATGTTGATGCATTCTAGAGAACTAACTGATAATAATTTCTTAGTAAGCTAATTAATCATTAGTTCCTCGTTACAATATCAATATTACCAACAGTTTTAAATTTTTATTTAACTGTCCTGCTTAAAAATCAATAATAAGATAGTTCACAGATCTATCTATATTTTTTATTGATTTACCGGATGGTTACATGAAACCGTTGACTATTTCCATCAACTCTCTTGGTGTATTTGTATTATAATTGCTTTCACAAGTATTATTATTTGCAAAGGATTGATTTAATCATACATACTTTTATCAATAAACAAATAACAATAAATTTTTATAAACATTTTGGCTTATTGAAAAAGTTAAAATTACATTGTAGGTGCAATACGTACAACCAGTGCTGCCAACTTGTTTACACGTGTTTCACGACTTACGATTGGATGTACACATTCTTACTGTACTATGTTTGAGGATTGTACAGGAAAGTAAGGGGTGGAAAAATTAAATATTTTGTGTCTAAATATAAGGGTAAAAATTGTCGTTTTATAGCTAACTGTAGGAAATATAACAAGTTCAATATCTTAAGTTGACTCACCAATACAAGAAAAAAGGCTGGTCAATATGGAATTCAGAAAACTCTTCAAACTTAGAATGTAAATGAAGACATGACAGAAACTTGACGGGAACGAAGTGTCGGATGAAGTGTTACCTTCTGAATATTCATGTTTCGAGTCTCCGCAATCCGGAAGCAATGCCAACTTGACAGCACGACTTTTATATTTTAGCTTACTAAAAATATTAAGAAGTTAAAGGGTAAACATTTGTACTGTCATTAAGGATACAATCTTCAACAGTGTTTTATATTACCCTGTATATTTATTTTGTATTACCCTGCAATAACTACCCTTTTCTTCTATGTTTGATATTTTAATAATTTCTAGAATGTCAAATAGTTTAAAAACAACAAAATAGTAAACATGAAGTGTGCTTTGTGAATGTCTTTATGATTGTATAAGATTTTTTAATGCATGTATATATATATATATATATATATATATGATTATATAATTACATAATTTATATGTTCTAAAAGAGTATTAACCATAAAATATTTCGTTATTCATTTTTTAAACCTTGTACTATGTTTCCAGTGTTGTCGGTAACCAAACAATTTTATTGTAGATCTATGAATCTTATATTTACCAGATATACACCCTACCTACCAAGGTCAGAGTAATTTGATAGTTTATATCTAAATATTTTCTTCTGAATCACTTTTAACAGTTTATAGACCATAGTAAAATGCATATAAAGTTAACAACCGATCAATACATATTTCGTTTAAATTATTATAAATGTCTATGCATAGACCATGAAACATTTTATGGTTAATTCCCCTTATAGTGAATTTCCCATATAGGGAACAAGCTATTACCGTAGTACTCATGGTAAGACCTGGACGCGGGACCGATTTTTTTCGTTTTGTGGTCCCTAGAGGCCGGCCAAAAACACCATCCGTTCAAATTCATATATATATATATATATATGTGTGTGTGTGTGTGTGTGTGTGTCCGTTAGCACGATAACTCGAGCAAAAATGATCCACTTTTGATAAAATTTGGTACAAACGTGTAAACCTACGTTTATTCGAACGAGTTCGCGATCCAGCATGATCGGACCATGGGAACGGGGGTTTACGGGAAGTTTTATGGGGTAAAAATAGGTTTTTCCCATTTTTGACCTAAAAAACATAAAATTTAGCAATTTATTTCCAAACCATTTTGTAGAGCTTTAAAAAACAAATAATTTAGTATATTGAAGCGGTATTATGCGCCTAATGGTTACGGAGAAAATTCCAAAAAATTGTAAATTTAAAATTCCCATGTTATTCTTATGGAGAATAAGTAAACTGTTGTAGTTTGCTTGTTTATGAACATATTTTGATCAAATTTGGAAAATGTTTTTATTTCTTCCTAACTATTAACATTAAAAAAACAGTTTTACCCTCCCTGATGCAGCAAACCTAAGTACTTGTTAAAACTAATTCTATTTAAATCGGGAATAAGTGTTATATTTTTAAGTAGACATTTCAGTGTAAATCCAATCAGTCAAATGGAAATTCGCTTAGTCTGCAGGTTTGCTGCGGCGGGGGTATTTTAATTGTTAATTCACAATAATAATGTGTTCACAATAATAATATTGTGTTTTATATTCTCGGCCGATATTATACAGTGTATATTTTATTTTAATAAAATAATAAACTATATTTTCATATAGCTAACTAGTGGTGGTATACGCTAACTACTCAGCCACCGCTCATCCAATTTTATATTACTTAGATTTATAAGGAATAACATAAACACACACACAAAAAGTTGTTATAGCTTTAAAATCACCATAAAATAAATACTAGAGGACAATGATGGTTTAATCAAACTCAATTAATTCCTTATTTGATTACAATCGATTCAAGTTTATTAGCATAACAATTGTACGTGTTGATGTTTGCTATAACTACAAGAACCATCAATCATGCACAGGTCTCGTAATCGTGATACAGCACTGTTTGACTAGTATCAACTGTACTGGAACGTGCGTTGTATGGCAGATTATACATACACAAATCAATACTATGTTGCATAATTAGACCTCACTAAACGGTGACGTAATATTGACCATATGTAGGTGGTTAATGTCTTTAAACCCTGATTACTATTCTTGAAACAAACTAAACATGTTCTCTTATAGATGTATGACTCTTACGGAATGGCTGGAATCAATATACAATAGTTCCTTGTCCTCTAGCCCTTTATAGTTTATGAAGGAAAATGTAAGGAATCAGTTAGTATAAGCATTGACCATACACAGAATACTTCCCATGGAATGTAAAAATTTCGAGCAAAGGAAATAAGTTCAGGACCACCTCACCAGAGAGTACTAGTGTGTTGGGTTGAATATTAATTAAGGTAATAACATGTAATACGTATCAGGAAATAGCAGGTGGAAATCATCAGGTGGTATCACAAACCGCTGTAAAAACATCCATCTGCTTCGGTGATAAAGGAAAAATAGTATAGATATTGTCAGGAGGATTTGAAGGATAAGAAAATATTGTTCTGTTAACAATAATAACAGTTTTAAAGGTAGGATGAGATTTTAAAACATTGTCCCATTCCTAAGATATGACAGGATATAGCAAGTCGTCAGGATAAAGTAGCAGGAGGTATTATAGCATATTTAACACATTTCAAATGTCTAGTTTTAGATATTTGATGCTTTCATCCAGAAAGACTCTAACACATTGTTTTGTTCCAGCTGTAAGGGTTGTCTTGAGAGGCAAGGCACACGCGGAGTGGAAGGTGGTTGTGAGCGGAGACAGAAGAACCGTGAGAGACGACCAGTACTTCATCGACGACCGGGCCATCATCTGGGGAAAAGGTACAGCCATTTACATTTGTCTGCCTTTAATTAACTTTGAAATGGACAGATGTTCGGCAAATGCGAAGCCTATTGACATTTTACCTTGAGTCTGATCTAGCACATTTTCCAACATGGTTTCCAGGTGGCTACACATAGTTTAAAATTACCCATTATGCAGAAAACCTTTTTAAATAGTCTACCTAGTTAGTACTTGATTTTTTAGATGAACATTTATTAAGTTAAAAGCCAACGATGGTGTACTTGTTAATTAGGGATTTTAGTTAATCGCAGATTCTTCAATCGAGCTGACCTAAGTGAAAAGCTTGCCATAAATTATGGAATCTTTTTGATGACGCTGACTGTCCCCACAATTTAATAGGTATTTATTTCTCAATGAGTAGTGTTTCTTTCGAAAGTTAATAGTTGTTCGTACTAATGTGTAAACGAAGTATAGATTTAAATTGAAACACTTAATGGCGGAGATTTTGCGCTAGTGATGAATGTAAATTTTATTGCGATTTTATAGTATAAATACATAGGAGTATAAGTATATGGAAATATTAACGAATGAATGCGTTAAGTAGTCTTTTTTTAAATATCACCAATCACAGTTCAAATTCAAATTCAAATTGTTTATTTGGCCATTAAACATTACATAATAGGCTATGTCAATACATAATTCAGTAAATAAAAATAAACCATCATCAGAGATTGGTTAACAATCAAATCAAACCATGCTTAGTTTAAGTCAAATAGCATACAAAATAAAAAGTTAAATAAATCAGATTAAAACCATGCACATTTGGAGAAAATAAAATCAAAAAGCAGTTAAAAAAAAAGCACACACCATGCATTACCTAATTACAGGTGGACCTCTGTCTTAAGAAACTCACTAGAGTCAAATAAAGGTGTTTCTAGGAGCCAATTATTTAGAAAGGCTTTGAATTTTTGTAAAGGCAAACGCCTCACTTCAAGAGGCAGATGGTTAAAATACTTGCAACCTGTAACAGGAAAACAATTAATTGATTTACTCAGTCTGTGCCTTACAGTGAAAATATCAAACCTATTTCTAGTGTTATGGCTATGTACATGCTGATTTCTAGGTAGGTATATTTCATTGGACTTAATTTCTAGGAGACATTGAAAAATATATACATTATATACAGTCATGACTTTGTTTTGGAGAAACAGTGGTTTGGAGTGCGCGAGATCCTGGGCTCCACTAAGTACCCTCATCGCTTTCTTTTGCAGAACCAGAATTTTGTTGACTTTAGGCGAGTGACCCCAGAGTCTCGTTCCGTAGACAATAATAGAGTGAAAAAAAGCAAAGTAAGCAACACGAATAAAATCTTTTGGCAGGTAAAAACTCAGTCTTCTCAATAAAAATATAACCCTGTTAAGCCTACAGCACAGCGACTCAATATGATCTCCCCAGTCAAGGTGAGGGTCCAGAGTAAAGCCCAGCAGCTTTACATGGTCAGTGCACTCAGCAGACTTTCCCAAGCTAAAGGTGATTGCCTGAGTCTTGGATTCATTGAGGATCAGTTTGTTAACATTGAACCAGGCAGTAGCAGTAGAAAGAAAACCCTCAACTTTGGTTTTTGAGAGCTTCAAGTCAGGATCTTTGGCAAACAAGGTAGTGTCATCTGCATAAATAATAACGTTACCTGACACTTCATAGTAGAGGTCATTAATGGCCACCAAAAACAAGAAAGGGCCCAATATGGAGCCCTGAGGGACACCATGATTTACTGCCAAAGGGGTGGAATTTCTACCATTCCAACATACTATCTGCTGTCTATTGCTAAGGTAAGATCTGAGTACGTCGAGTGCACCACTCTGCAGGCCATATCTTTCAAGTTTCATAAGAAGAATTTGGTGAGAGACACAGTCAAAAGCTCGTGAAAGATCACAGAGCAAGACAGAAGTGTTTTGTTTGGTTTCAAAGCAATCAAGCACTACCTGAAGAAGGGAGTCCACTGCCGAAACAGTGGATCTGCCCTTCCTAAAGCCGTACTGCCCAGGCACAAGCAGGTGATGCACTTCAAAGTACTCATACAGTTGTTCCAGCATAACAGCCTCAAACACCTTTGCCAGAATGGGAATTATAGCTATAGGTCTATAACTTGACAAGTTATCATGAGATCCCTTTTTAAAAATTGGTACCACTCTGGAGATTTTCAAGGCGTCAGGAAATACCCCCTCATACAAACAGGTGTTTATGATGGTAGCCATGGGAGAAGCAATTACATTAATTATACCCTTAAGCAGTTCAATCGTCATGTCAAAACAATCTTTACTCTTTGACAGTTTAAAGCTATGGACAATGTTAATGATAGCAGTTGGCGTCACAGGCCTCCAAGAAAAGTTAAAAGGTACAATTGGGACTGATTTAAGACTATTTTCTACATTATCGGTACTAGTACTTGGTGTTAGGGATGTGCTACAACCCCCTATGAGTTCCTCTACAGAATTTACAAAATATTGATTAAATTCTTCAGCTTGGGCAAAGGTTTTGCTACTGACAGTGGGCTTTGATTTGGTGGCTTTAATAAAATCCCAAGCTGCTTTACAAGGATTTGCTGCATTGGAGATAGAAGCAGCCACTGAAGCCTGCTTAGCCTCTTTTACTTTTGTTTTGTAATTTGTTCTTAAATTCTTTAAATAAGGAATTAGAGTAGGGTTGTTCTTTGACAGATCACTTACAAATATAACAAAATTCCTTAACCTAGATAGTTCAGGACCAAACCAGTCAGAGGAGTGTGTTTTTCTATTGCTATTTACAACACCTGCTTGAGAAGTTTTCTTCTTAAGAGGAATGCACAAGTCAAAGGCATGTTTTATGTTGTCAAATAAACAATGAAAGGCCTCATTAGCAGTAAGGTAGGGCAAAGTCTCGCACCATAAATCAATATGCGTTGATACCATATCATTGAAATACTGGACATTAGAGGGGTTGAATACTCTAAAACTAACCTCAGGGCTAGAATTGGTGTCTAATAGTCTGTTTTCAGCAATAGTACCACTGGATTCAGTTTCAATGGAAAGGAAGACATGCTGGTGATCTGCAATCTGTTCCCGGCTGACAGCTGCTTTGTAGTTCCAGCGATCAAAATTAGAGATAAATGTATCCAACGAAGCTTTCTCTCTTGTAGGTTCAATTATGGTACAGTAGAGGTTATAACTACGGAGTAAATTTAAAAAATCGGTGACCTCGCTTGAATGTCTTAACAAGTTTATGTTATGGTCTGTGCCGATAATCACAAATAGACCTAATGTCAGAAGATATTCGAGACACAGTTCTAATAAGTTAAAAAAAGTGACCACATTGCCACTTGGTGATCTATACATGGTAACTACAACAGTTGAGAGTTCATTAATCACCACACCAGCAAATTCCCCATGCATTTCTACAGAGAATTTTTCCAGATCAAGAGGTTTACAGTTGAGTTTATTGTTAACATATAGAGCTACACCACCCCAGGGACGGGAGCGGCAGAAGTAGGCTACCAGGTTTAGATTGGAAATAGTATTATAGAGACCTATTTCCTCATGAACCATCCAATGTTCCTGAATGCAGAGCACATCAATACCGTTCTCATCACACAAGTTCTCAAGTAAGGCTATTTTACTTCTTAGGCTTTGAATATTTACAGTGCAAAAATTTGAAAGTTTTCTAGAGGATGATAACACAGTCTCTTTAGTTAGTTCATCTTCCCTAAAAAAACACGGGAAGGAACAAAACTGCTGTCGAGTCGCGGTTTAAACATGAACTCCTTAACTAAAGTACCGACAGGCCAGAAATTTGAGTCAAGCAGTTTGGGAAACTCTGAAGGAGTCACACCAAGTTTGAAAGAGCTATAGGAATGATGCTTAGTTTTAAGTTTAACACACTCACCATTAATGCCGCTATCGTTTAGGTAGGCTACAACTTCATCAGTTGTAACCTCACTAGATAACCTTGAAATAAAAAGCCAGTTCTTCTTAACTTTTTGTTCCACAGCCCTAACCTTCAAAGCAATTTTGGATTCGTTGACAGCTTTGCTTCCAATGATTGAGTTGCACGGTAACACTATCCAATAAATAGTATTGTGTAAAGAACAGACATACTATTATATCCATCTTATTAAAATAATAAATTAATGTTACATCAAATATATTTGTTTAAAGATGTTTCTTAATTAAAAACACATTTTGCGATGATTTGATTTACGACATCCATGTGAGTAATCCCTGAGGGGAAATATGAAACAAGTAATCCAATTTTTGATGCTTTAACCAGGTTTTCCAATGGAGGATGATATTAATGATAGTCTCATTTCATCAATTATGTTTTGATAAAAACAATTAATCCAGTTTATTTATGCGTTAAATCAAGAGCATTAATATCAATCCCAACAATACATGTAGAATAATCGTGTTTCATGGACCGCCATATTGACTATATAGGTGTCCCATATGTATATTGAATTTAAATAGTCATTGGGCTTTTAATAAATGATCCTGGCTAATGAAACAGCTGATCTTAGTCGGCGACAAAGCTACACAAATAATCTCACACCATTCTACCCTCATCGTTTCATATTTGGGTTGAAATACGCACATAGGTGTCGTCCCCATCTCAAAAAACTTATAAGTAATTATCCTTTGTTAGTCGGAGAAATATAGGATATGACCTTAAAAAAATTGCAAGAAAACGTTTTATGGTTTTATTTTGTAGAGTTGGATTTGCAGAATGACATACTAAAAGTTGCCAAAAATCGGTGCACGAGAAAACCACTAAAATCACAATTTAAAATGGCGGCTTTTTCCAACATTGGACAAACTAAAAAAACATATTTCACATGCATTTGCTATGCACATTTTTTCGAGATATTGACTTGGGACCACCACTTGTATTTATTGGGTGCTTAGTACTTCATTTTGATAGGGAACATGTTTTGGCCGCCATCTTGGATCCGCCATATTGGACATAGATATTTTTTTCCAATGTAATGATAGTGTTGTGACACATCATTACCAACTAAATTTTTACACTGATTTCAATGCCGAAATCCGTTTTTAAATATATTTATTCATTTAGAAGATATATTCAAACGAAAACTCTCCACCATACATTTCTTATGGACGTTTCGTAGTTTGATAATTTATTTTAAACTATTTTTCTTATATCTCCAGTTCTTATTGACACTTGTAGTTCGTTCTAGGCTTAAAATATTCAGTAATGTAAGGGCTTTCATTTGAGCTCTTGGTCATTAAAATCAGACGAGTTAAAGACCAGCTACGAACCTCAGAACAGTATTAAATTTAACTTTTTAGAAATATATATTTTATTAAAAGATTTATAACTCGGGTTGTTAATACATCACAAAGTTATTTCTGGTCTCAAATTACTCAGTAAATGTTTGGCTTTAATTTTATTGATCATTAAACAAAAGCTGACAATTGTAAAATGAGTCATGGACCATAATTTAACATTAAAATGTATTTATATTGAAATTTGTCTTTAGTTAAAGACGTATATCCCCAATTCTAAATAACTCCCAAAACTCTTTATAGTCTTAAATAATTTGCCAAATTATTGACTTTTATTTTAGCTATGGATTACTTTCCGGGAGTTATTAGGGTTTGGGATATATGTCCTTAACTAAAGACAAATTTCAAAATAAATACATTTTAATGTTAAATTAAGAACCATGACTCATTTTAAAATGGTCAGATTTTGTTTAGTGATTAATACAATCAAAGCTAAACCTTCACTGAGTAATTTGAGACCAGAAAGAACTTGGTGACGTATTAACAACCCGAGTTATAAATCTTTTAATATAAATATATTTGTAAAAAGTTAAATTTAATATTGTTCTGAGGTTCGTAGCTGGTCTTTAACTCGTCTGATTTTTATGATCAAGAGCTCAAATGAAAGCCCTTACATTACTGAATATTTTAAGACTAGAACGAACTACAAGCGTCAATAAGAACTGGAGATATAAGAAAAATAATTTTAAAACAATTATCAAACTACGAAACGTCCATAAGAAATGTATGGTGGAGAGTTTTCGTTTGAATATATCTTCTAAATGAATAAATATATTTAAAAACGGATTTCGGCATTGATATCAGTGTAAAAATATAGTTGGTAATGATGTGTCACAACACTATCATTACTTTGAAAAAAAAATCTATGTCCAATATGGCGGATCCAAGATGGCGGCCAAAACATGTTCCCTATCAAAATGAATTACTTTTTTTTTAATTTGTCCAATGTTGGAAAAAGTCGCCATTTTAAATTGCGATTTTAGTGGTTTTCTCGTGCACCGATTTTTGGCAACTTTTAGTATGTCATTCTGCAAACCCAACTCTACAAAATAAAACCATAAAACGTTTTCTTGCAATTTTTTTAACGATCCCTATGTAAGTTTGTTTAGTTTGCTTGGACTATTGTATCGAAACTTTGTTTTAACGTATAATAACGCCTAGTTTGAATAATGGAATAATAAAAATTCAAATTAATAACCTTTATTCTTATCTTACACTGCGGAAACTAATTGCACTTAATTCTTTTGTCTATGATTGCACGTAGCTTCTTGCATGATGGCCAGTATACGATTTTTTAAATCGTCACACCTTCAATATACGGCTCCCTACTTCCACTTACATTCCTGAGCTGTTATGAAACATGAAACAATTATACTGTTCAAATGCTACCCTGTGTAGTAAAAAATACAACACATGCCTATTCTTAACAAGAAATCCTAAAGTATAGCATTTTCAAACCATTACCCCAAATTCAGTCAATGAATCCTAGATTTTCAGTGAGCAAAGACCACTCAGATAATTGTATGTAAACTGCTTTACTTTCAAAATTTGTATCCAAATCTTCAAATATTCACCCATTACTACAGATTCTCTCTTTCCCGCATGTACGTTTTGGCGTAGCCACAGATCATACAAGATGTGTACTATTCGTGCTAGATTTTTGGTACTTTCTCATCTAAAAGTGATAAGATTATCTATCCCAAAACATAAAAATTAAGATGTTTACCTATAAAAAATTCAAAATATCTGTATTTACATTTAGTGTAAATAATCACCCAATTAAATTTTCTATAAACTGTTGACATCCTCGTCAACATGCATTTGCCACTGAATGGGCCTCAAACTCCTGTGCATGGAACGGACCAGGCATGGTATTGAACTGGTAAAGTAAAAAGAATTAATTTAATAAAAACCTTTAATTGTGACATCAGGATTTGAACCCAAGACATCGCTGTGTCGATTTCCCAGTTTTGACGCTGTAAAACCGAGCACCCAACTCAACCTTTATGGGTAAAATTCATGTCTAAAAACATTTTTATTGGGCTTCTCAATTTCAGGATTTTTGAAACTGATCCATGTTTTTGCAGACAAACCAGATGGAAATATCCCTATCTTGCCTCGTGGATTGCACCAGTTTCCCTTCAGATTTCAACTGCCCGAAAGTAGTCTACCGTGCTCCTTCGAGAGCAAACCTGGCTTCATAAGATATTACATCAAGGTAAACTCTTGGGAACACCTAAAAGAGTAGGTTGATTCTTAAAAGGAACTCAGGTTTCAATTTAGAATATAAGTAGTGTTTAAATAGGTGAATAAACTTAGCCTTATTTTAAAATCCTCTTTAGAGAAATTTGTGTTTGAGATAAGTCATGCTTTCAGACTTCCGGTTTACAGAAATGAACCAATGTTAACTATGGGATGTGTAGGAAATAGTTTTAAATTGTATTTCTGATGACGTGCTAATTCCTGAATCTGTTTAAACAGAGAGAGAGAGAGAGAGAGAGAGAGAGAGAGAGAGAGAGAGAGAAATCTTTATTTTACACATTTACTTAGTTATTTTTTTAAATACACTCATTATCTTCAACTACTTACGGAAAATAATTAATAGCAGAATACTAAAAATGTTTTTCACCTGTATCCTTATGGCGAGATTAACGTACGTTATTCTCCAATAAAAATAAATAAACTACGATGGTAATATGTATTGAATAAATTTGTATGTAATCTGTATGACGTTTAAAGTAAAAATGTGTCTCCAAATGTTATTATAATGTATTATCCAAATGTATTATCAAATATACCAAATATATTATCCAAGTGTATTATAGCTATGCTTTTAATAGGAAACAATAAAAAAAGGGTACAAAGAAAGTCTATCCCTCAGTAGATCAAATGAAGGAAACACAAAGTCATGGTTATTATAGTTATTATTTTTAACATTTGCAGGAGCTTTAGTTAAGGTACCTTGAACCATGTGATCCAAAAATGGTAATTACAACTTTACAGCGCATTGTTTGATTAACTTATTAACTTAAAGTAGTCAATTTACAAACATAGCATGTTGTTTCTTAGGTAACAGTGGACATTCCGTACGCGTCTCCTCCCCAGGGTATGAAATACTTCACTGTGATTGGTCCTCACATAGACTGCATGGACGAACAGTACCTGGTGAGCTTTGCTTTTGATCGGATCAAGTCATAAGTCATTTATTTGGCCAGATTTACATTAAGGCATTGGCCAATTCAATATACATTAAAAAAAATACAGATTGTCTTATAAACTATAAAATAACTACTAAAATAAACAATATTTACATGTAATCAATTCATGAACCAAGCATACCATATGCCCATGACTACCCATCAGCAATAAAATCACGGACACGGTAGTAACACTTGGACACCAGTAATTTTCGAAGTGATTTTTAAAAATAACAGGGTTTGACTCAATTGTTAGATGGGTTGGCAATGCATTGAAAAGCGGTATACCGTTATAATAAAGATGTTTTTTTTTTTAAAGGTGGTTGAATGTTATGGTATCTGAAGATTAAGACTGTTTCGCAAAGGATCATTTTATCATTTTAAGTTATGACTTGTATTACTTTGTCGCAAGGCCACATTGTGCTAATGAAAGATTAAATATACCATTTACTTACCACAGATTTATAATGGTAACTTTATACAGGATAAAATACTGTTGGTGCTCAACATCTTTAAAATGTCATTCCCAATAGATCGTATGAATGAGGATAGGTTACAAAATCATAGCTGACTTTTTTTAGTAGTCCAGACAACCAATGATCAAAAAAGGTATAGAGGGAAATAATCGGAACGCCATTTCCGATTTTGTAACCTTGTACTACTATACCAATATAGTTGGGAGGGGAATATACTAAATGGCCCTTCCAATGCTCCTTGAATCGTTAGGGAGGGTGCTTGAAAGTGTCAATTTTTCTTAAATCTCGGATACCATGCGTACATGACAGGTTATTGTGTACATAATGAAAGCTTATTAAACTTAAAACATTTTTTGTACTGTATAAATTCTTAAAATATTTTATAGTTTTCATGTTATTTACTATAATAAGTTTGTAAATTAGGAATAATACATTTTTTCTCTTGCTTTGGTTCTTTCTGACAAGGTAACACCTATACTGTGGGCCCACAAAATAAATGCCAGTCTTGGGGTTGTAGAAAATCAAATTCCCTTCAACAATATACATGACCTTACTAGTTCTTAATAAAAACACATTTTCGTTGCCTCAACTTTAAACCCTAAGCGTAGTTTTTTGTGTCATCGGCTTTTTCACTAATGGATCAACAAAAGAAAAATCATGGAATATTCAAGCAATAGTTTTATGGTTGAGTACACGTATTTAATTGAAATATTTGTTCAGAAACCAATAATCGGCCAAGACAAGAAGACCATCTGCTGCATGTGCTGTAAGAAGGGTCCAGTAACGTTGCGAACACAGCTGGAGCGATCTGCTTATTGTTGTGGAGAGTCGATAAAACTGAGGGCCAACGTGGACAACCAGGGCGAAGAGGAGGTGCGGCTCAAAGTTAGGTTAATACAGGTAAAATATTAAATAAATTACAATAAATGTAAAAATGAGTTCATAAATGTAAAAATCATATACTACCATAGATAAAAAATACTCCCTTAGTAGATTTCCCATCCTTATGGAACAGCAGAAGCAAATTTTAATTTTTAGTTCTGTCCGGTGTACTGTAGTTATAATTTGTTTCTTGTTATTTCAGTCATTTAAAACCTCATTTAACCAAATAAAACTATCTTATTATAAACAATAACTCGTTCACTAGCTATATAACCAAACAGTGAGGCATAAAATAATAAGAAACTAACCCTAAAAACAAAAAGAAAAAAGTGTAAACAAATCACGACATCTACAGTACACCAGACAGAACTAACAATGAAATTGGCTTCAGCTGTTCCATAAGGATGGGAAACTACTAAGGGAGTATTTTTTTCTACGATACTACTAATACACTCCTGGATCCTGAAGTAAACATCCATCCCATTGGTAACCAATCTAACTGTAACCAATTGTTTACTTTAGATCATAGTTGAATAATTCATTATAGAGTGTGCTAATGTGAAAATATGTTTTCCTTTATTCGTTAAAACTTTGATGAATAGGCTATGTTCCATATAATATGAGATACTACAGTGCACTAGATGTGCTTTTAAATTTAGCTTTTTTTTGACAGAACTCAGTAATTTATATCAGCACACTTAGTGACTAAGACAACATCGTATGTCCATTTTGATTCTAAATATAGCTACAGTGATTTCGTGGAAAAGGAATGCATATGCCTTCTACTATGAATAAATATAGATAAAACAATTAGGTTACCAGAGCTAATTTATATTCTTCATCAGCTTTAAGCCTAACAATAAAAATATAGTTATAGATTAAACAAAATCGTGTGGCTCGATTAAAAACAACCGTTTGGTGATATGATCAATATAAATCAGAAACCATTACTCTGGACATATTACTTGGTTGATGTGTCTCTTCCGTTAACACCCATTGTTCATCTGTATAAAATTCATCATATTTTCAATTCGCACGAAACCACTTACGAAACTCAATCTCTTCCCTTCTACATTATAACACAATGCTTGTATCCTGACTTCGATATTGAACGACCTGATTCTGTTGCTTACTTTCTTGTTAACCACAAATCCTTATGGCAGATTCCCTTCCTTTCTCATTTCATCTTATTTAACTTTGTTGTTCAGTTTCGTCCAACATCTGGACTAGTTCATAGTCGTCCAGATTCATAAAAATCTTCTGATGGTCGATGCTCCATCCAACCTATACTATTTTGGTAACCGTAAATAATAATAAAACGCCCCTTACAAAAGAAACTCAATAGTGTTTAAAGTAACCAACAGTCACCCGTACTAAATATATCTATTGTGCAATATATTAAAGAAATACACATTTTTAAAATGTTGTAATCTAATCTTCGGTTTAACAGAAACCATTGAGAATGTACCTTCAAACTTTAGATCAGTGAATCCTAATTTGATGTCTACGGTTTACACAAATTGATTAAAAGAAAGCTGACAAATGGACGAAAGCTTAATAAGAATTATTTTACTTCTAGATAAAACCATTCCAGATTAAAAGCCAAATGGTTTTACAGTGTAAATTTGACAAAGGGAAAATAGGGTTTTAAAAGACTAAATTGAAACAAAGTTCAAATTGAAGTAAGTCTTTAAGTAAAAAAAAGGATACCATTAATTCTGGAAATCAATTTTTGTAATTTAATTTACTGAGATTTATTTTTGTTTAGTTATCTACGATATCTTCGGAAAAATGAAGACAAGTACAAATTGACTGTATGAAAAGTTTAATTTCTAAAATTTCAATGTATTTACGGTGACAATAATTTTTTACACATTCCAGTACGTGGAGTATTTCATAGACAGAGGAGTTCTGGGAGTGACCAAGGAACTACAACACCTCGTCCTGGAGTATAAAGGAGACTCGGTCAAGCCCAACACGAGGCACAAGTGGGACTCAGCCCAGAGTCTAGTGGTGCCTGTCATGCCACCGTCACTAGTAGGCATCTGCCGGCTCATGCAGATTTACTATGTGCTCAAGGTAAACCGTGATATGTTCACATATTATTGAATGACGTAAATTAAAAATGTTAAGACTATGAGTACTTACAATTAATTTGAAGAATGTTTTCGATGTAGTTGTATGTGTAACTGTGTGGTTATGGTGCTCGCCTTCAAATATGAAGGTTATTGGTTCGGTCTAATGCCGGGCCGATTTTGAACCAAGATGGGATTAGTCATTGACTAATCCCAATGATGACTAGCCCAATGACTAATAGTCATTGGGCTAGCAGATGATACTTTGGACAGAAAACCGAAGTTAGTTAGTCCAGGGACTAGAGGAACCTGTGTTTTGTCCGGCCTCTTACAAACAAATTATAGAATTTAAATGGTGCAGGAAAAAAATTAACGATTATTTTAAGTTTATTTTAATGAGATTTGGCTCAGACATATACTAACTTATAGGTTCTTTCAGCTTTGGAACATTACTTTCTGAATTATTAAAAAGTTACTACTGTAATTTGCTTCGAAGATATGTGTGGTATTGGTCATTTTCAACCAATTTAATATCAAAATACTCTTTATTGAATGGTTTTCATGATCAAAATTAAAAAATTAAATACAGGTATATCTACATAAAAAACCAATTGAAGATAAGAATATTGTCAACGATAGTTGTATAAAAATCTTTACTGGATTTGAAGACATCACCAAGATTTATTATCGATAGTCAAATGGTTGTACGTATATTTTGTATATTTGTCTGCTATCTTAATTTCACTGTTCTTTTAAGACATATTCATGTTTTTCAGGTCAATTTAGAGTTTGAGAAGTCTGGTGACGACCTCCACATGCACTACCCCATCACAGTTGCCACCGTTCCGTTCAGAATCCCCAACGCGACACAACCGACGATACATTACGGTAAATTTACTTTGCACAAGCATTGACTGGTTTATTTCTAGAACTACAAAAATCTATGAGGATACTGTGCACTTTTGCTTATTTAATTATGTTTGTCATGGTATGATTTTTTTCAAAATCTTGGTATTTATGTTATTCTCACCGAATAAAAAAGTCTTTCAATTTAAAATATAACCAGTTGATTTACAGGATTTGATTAGGATTTTATTAAAATCCATCTTTTACTAAATAATGACTCTAGAAATATGATATTTTTCATTATGAATATCAAACAGGAATTGATATTTTTATGCATTACATTCAAGTACTATCAGGGGTTAGGGCGTGGGACTTCGGTTCCTGAAGTCCAGGTTTCTAATCCCGCCAAATCACCAATGGATTTGATCTAAGTGATAATTCCGCAACCTTAGGTCTAGCCTTAAGTAATGTGAAAAACAATCTCAGACCCGCGCCTAGCGTCCTAGGACAAAAAATAATCAAGTAGAAATTTTATTCAAATATACAAGTTGAAGGTGAGTTTCAAATGGAAAACAGCCTAGTTTCATCTATCCCCCAACATAGTTTGTTCTTAATGTTTGCCAAAGTTATAAGTCAAATAACGCCAATTATTAAATAGTATATTTCACTACGAGCATGGGATACACTATCAAGCCCCGAAATGGGACTTTCGTGTCGAGTATTGAACGATACTTTTTATATCGATGAAAAAAACTACTTCACCACTCCTTTTGAGCTAACCAGGAACTTCAGTTGTAACTTTGTTGATGTCAGGCAAAGGTTTGTGTAGCGAAAGTAATGTTTATGTCAGGAAAAGTCAGCTAATAACTATCGGTTTTTCGTGCATGGAAATTGACGATTTTCAAAGAGCTCAGCCGTATGAAAATGGGCTATTTTCGAATAAAGAGTAATGAAAAGGAGATTTATTGTTAATATTTAACAATATATTCTACATATACATACTCAAATATATACACGTACATGTTTATTTTACTGTCACCAATTCACTACTTCCTGTCTATAGATGTGGCCTGTGAGCATGTAGAAGGAGGAATGTACATCGGGCCGGAGTTTCTTCTAGGCCAAGTCTACGATGGAAGTAACGCTCAAGAGGTCCGGGAGACCGTCGTTTTGTACAGGCCCGTGTACGTATGTGTGACAAAAAGTCATGACTGCAGCACCACCTAGTCACATGTGTAAATGTTCTGTTTATAAGATGAACATATGTAAATGTTTTCTGGCAGATACACTTTTTGTAAGGAAAATTAACTAGAAGAAAAATAGTGTTTTAAGTTTCTCCCATCTCATGTCGCTGCTCAAATTTGCTATCGATGTCAATGAGTTATTTGACAATCCGAAATATACCTACATTCCTCCTGGTAGGTTATGTGTGATTTTGAGATGAAAAGTGTAATATATACATCTAAGAAGTTAACTCATATATTGTCCATTTGTGATACATAAATTTATATACAAGGCATGTTTTTTTAAGTAAGTACCGTTTTTAAATTTCTCCATTCCAGCGCTGCTATTGGCATTTTCGACCTTTGTGCTGTGTATGTGCATCTATTGGCAAGCCTGCGCCGGAAATTCGGCAACAATCGGACGTGTTTACATCACTGGTTTCGAGCATCCAAAATGATGTCGCCAATTGATACTGCCGCCGACTGTGAAGTGCACGCTGTAATAGAATTTGTAAGTGCTAAAGGTGTGAAAGCTATTTAAATTCATCGACAGATTAGTGAAGTGTTTGGTAAGAACATTGTGAGTGACGGAATGGTACGCATGTGGGCAAGGCCTTTTAAAGACGGTCGCACAAACGTTCATGACGAGCAACGCACCAATTCATTAGTAATAGCAGATGGCCGGCGGCCGCCCATTAAGTTGCTCATCATGAACGTTTGTGCGACCGTCTTTAAAAGCCCTTGCCCACATGCGTACCAATCCGTCACTCACAATGTTCTCACCAAACACTTCACTAATCTGTCGATGAATTTAAATAGCTTTCACACCTTTAGCACTTACAAATTCTATTACAGCGTGCACTTCACAGTCGGCGGCAGTATCAATTGGCGACATCATTTTGGATGCTCGAAACCAGTGATGTAAACACGTCCGATTGTTGCCGAATTTCCGGCGCAGGCTTGCCAATAGATGCACATACACAGCACAAAAGTCGAAAATGCCAATCGCAGCGCTGGAACGGTGAAATTTAAAAAAGGTACTTACTGTACTTGAAAAACATGCCTCGTATTACAAATATACTCATAAAAACTTGGATGTAATAAAATTAAATAGCAATTAGTAACCTGTAACAAAACAAAATATATTGTTTTTAATTTTCATGTTCATCATAAAAACCTATACGGGAAAGTTATTGATATTAGTGACAAAATGAACGAATGTTGATTAACATTTTTATATGAATTGTACAATTATTTGTTTGCTGTGTCATAATGTTTGTGTTTAAACCCTTTGTAGTTTTATACTAGAATAACAACAAAAGACTATTTTAAGGTGAAATGTTGAAAACCTATTAAAGAGTTCCAATTATTGTACATGGAACGGTCTTATGTTTAAAAAATGTGTGAACTCACTAACCTTAAAAACTAAAAACTTAGGTAAATTTATTTGCAATTACTACTATTTGTTACAAAAAGATTTTTTCATTCTGTTGTCTTTACAGTCAAGTATTAACTAAATCTTCTACAAAAAAGATATTTAAAAAATATTCTACATTTTAAAACAATTTACATTACTCTTCCATAAAAAAACAAATAACAGGTGTTAGGTTTGTTACAAAAGTAGGTGATTTTTTTTTGGGAGACAGGTTTGTAGAAGGGCTTATTAGCCGTTGGGGTATTTAACTAGATCAGCTGTTAGAGATCGATCAACTAGATTCGCCATTTCCCGTATGATAAACAATGAAAACATTTCACGTACAGTGTTTGAGTAAGCTTGCAGATTTAGTTCTGAATGTTTAATGTCTTATAAATCAATTTAGCACATTATAGTATCTGTTCCAGTTGTGTACGTTGTCTGATTTTCTTATTAATACACAATTGTAAAACACAATACTAATGTGATGTACTGGGTGTTTAGTAGTCAGTTTTGATCAACTTTTATCCTACATAATAATATTTGCAATGGCTTTGTTAGACTTTACAATATTCAATCAGTATAGGTTTTTTTTACAGCCAAATCCAAATAAACCTTCTAAATTCAACATAAATAATGAATTTGGAAAAATAAAAAATGAATCATAGCTTGCTTGTTATATGTCGTGTTATAAAATGTCAAATAGTATAAAAATCTTCTCCGCATTTTAAGGTTTAAAATTATGTACAACGTGTGGCATTTTATGTCCGCCTTAGGAAATTCTAAAATAACCATTCAAACATCATTATGTTGGCTTACTGTTGACAAAATATAAATATTTTATTTGGCAATTTCAAGCAATTTTGCAACTCTAAAAACGGAAGTAGGAGTGGGATAAAACTATCCCAATTGCGTATTTTCATCGTAATTTGCGTGAATAATAATGTCTTAAAAAATCTTAACGGACTACCAAACACCCTTTGTTATATGCCTTTTATTTTATTTTGGTTTATTTTTTTTGTGTTACCGGGTTTCGAAACAGGCTACTTCTATGGAAGTAATGTTATAGTTATGCACACTAAATGTATATACTTGTACTTATTATGAATAAGTTTTTAATAGTGTTTTAATTCTGACCTTAATGTATTCAATGCCGAAAAGAATTTTATAAAAAATAAAATACAAGTTTTTACGTTTTTTATTATCATAACTTTACAGACATTCTTTTCAGCTTATGTGATTAGTGAAAGGATATTGTTTATTATATATCTGCCATGTAATCTTAGTTGGATCAAAAAAATCCCACATAAATAAAAAAGAAGATTTATAATTTTAATGTAACGGACTCATGTAAATTCATGGCTTTTAGGAAGAGAAAATTTTGACTTACAATCATAATTTTATGTTTCAAAATTTAACACTTAAATAAATATTAGCGCTATAACTTTAAAATATAAGTATTATACGCTATACAGCCTTACGAATACTGTTTTCAATACTTGTTACGATTAGCTGACGTCATAGTACACAATTAATGTGTTGTGTGGATAGAAGTTGAACAAAACTGTAAGTAAGAAATAAAACTTAAATAAACATACACAACTAAAAATACCATTCCTATTCTTTATATTATTTTTAATATATTTTTTTACTCATATGAATGTGCAGTATTATTTGTATTTTATAAATATTTATGCAAACAAATCATACCGTTCATATTTACAGTATCACTAACAGTGTGTTTTGTTTCTGTTATGTCAGTGAGTATAATACCTAATAAAATGGACTGAGTGAAAACCATTCGGTTGTTATAACTACGAAAGTAAAGTCATATTTGCCCTTGATTTATTTAGCAATGTAGTACTGCAATGAATTTCAATTTATTTTTCCAGTATAAATTATTTGCCGTCAGCATTATAAAGGTATACATTTTATAAGTTTGGCTATACTAATCTGGTTTGAGTTACAACATTGCTTTTTACTTATAAATTTTTCATACAGATGTAGATATGTAATAAAATACTCTGTAACCTAGTTTTCTGCTGTTCTATGTTTGTTTTGTAGTAAATAATAACCACTGTGACATAAATGATCAACGTAAATTTCGTACCCTTAGAACATGTTGTTGACTGTTTGAATGTTTGTATAAAGGCAAAGAAACTGTGCACTACGGACACACAGGATATGTTTTAGAATAAGTAATGTTTATATTGTATGATGTTGAATATATTTGGATTACGATTTTATGTAGATAAAATTAAAGGCAATATATTACAAGACTGTTCAAATGGAGACTTTTCATTGACCTTTTCAAAATCTTTGTCATTTCAATACTTTTCATGCTTGGTTGCTGTAAGTTGTAATACAATGCTCCACATGGTTGTAATGCTGTATATACTTATCACTAGTGTTTATTGGGCATGTAACGTAACTACATGAAATATTCCAGTATCACTAAACTGTGCAAAAATTAATCACGAAATATGTTACTTACTTTTAAAATGACATTTTTAGCTGATTATTTACAGTTATTCTTATTTATTACTTTCCAACCAGTTTTTATGTGCACATTTTGGAACCAATAGATTGTATTTACCTACAATATTTTTACAACAGTCCTAACTACAAATACTATATGTCAAACAAAATGTCTTAATCTTTCGATTGTTTCTTTCTAGGACCACATACAACTGCCACGCAAAAGGTTTTCACCCAAATTAATTTTATGAGCTCCAATCTGATGTAAAATCCGTTATTTTAGATAATACAGAAATGTTTACAATATATTTTATTCTTCAAAACCAAAATAATTCAAGTCTATTCATAGGAATATATGGGGGAAATGTGAACCAATCAACTATATTCAAACCAAGCAAAAAAAAACCTACCACGAGTTATTCTTTCGAGTTAATAATAGAAAATCCCTCCTGGTTGTACCCCATTACCTTTTCTCATGTTATTTTACAAGTTCCAACCTTTGGTGTAATCATGTTGTTTGAACTATATTGAACCCTTATTCGATCATCAGTCCACGAACAGAAAATTTATACTTAATACTAAATCTTCAATTTTTGGAACATGAATATTGTAAAATGGATAAGAATTTGGATCGAAATTCCAAACGAAATATATTAATTGACACCCTTCAGGAGCTACAGGGCATATTAAAAATACGTTGAATAGTGAGAGAATTTCTCCACGCTATCCTCTTGAAGTTCCAACTAATAAATCCAAGTGGACCACTCGGCTGCTTTCAAGGGAATTGAAATATTGAGCGGTTGTGACAGACCTAAACAACAAACAAGCTTCACGAGGACTCGGGAAGTTGATGGAGTGAAGTTAGGCCTGGAACAAACAACTCTTTGTGTCAAAAATAATCATCGCAAACATTCCCATCAATGAAAAGTTACAGACACAAGGTATGTTTGTTCAAATTAATTTCTAATATGAATTATTAGATTTGGGTATATTTAGTTCAAAGGATTGAGGAATTTTTTCTTTAACTGAATATTTTGGTTTTAGATTATTAAAAGGCATAAAAAAGTATTGTAACGTAAAGTAAGACAGTTAACACTAATAATAGTATTCACATTGGCTTATTATTACTAATTATATTTAAAAAAATAAAATATCGCAGAAAACTCTTAAGACATAATTTGGCTCTTTTTGTCGAGCAATTTTAAAGAGTCTCTAAAGATATATTGTTTTGATTCGCTAAAACATGATAGGAAAATTTTAAGTGATTAACTTAATTAACTAAACAGGCTTATTAAAGTACCAAGTAAACTGAATAAATTGAAAGTAAAACACAGTAAGTTGTTCACGTACTCAATACATTGGCATCCGTCTGCAATGTTCGAATACATAGGTTGGATGGATTTGTGTATAGAAATAAGTAGAATGGATACATTTTTATACGTTTAAAGCTATGTATAATTAATAGAATGA